TCTGGTCCCTAAAGGCCCATTCAGGGACTCCTTGGTCTGAATGAGGATCCAACAGGAGTTTTGTGGTTCAGACGAAGTGAGCTGAGATCCAAAAACTGTTCACAGAAGCCGCCCGTCCCAGTTTGGTCCCAAAGGGGAAGTTTGTTTCTCATCCCAAATCTGAGTTTGTGAGGTTCAGTTTGATGAAAAGCTGGACCTGGTTCCTGGTTTTGAACTGGACTGATGTGGTCTTGTTTTCTGGTTCTGAACTGGACCGATGTGGTCCTGGTTCCTGGTTCTGAACTGGACCGATGTGGTCCGGTTTCCTGGTTCTGAACTGGACTGATGTGGTCCTGGTTCCTGGTTCTGAACTGGACGTATGTGGTCCTGTTTCCTGGTTCTGAACCGGACTGATGTGGTCCTGTTTCCTGGTTCTGAACTGGACCGATGTGGTCCTGTTTCCTGGTTCCGAACTGGACAGATGTGGTCCTGGTTCTGCTCAGAACTGGACTGATGTGGTCCTGTTTCCTGGTACTGACCTGGACTGATGTGGTCCTGTTTCCTGGTTCTGAACTGGACCGATGTGGTCCTGGTTCCTGGTTCTGAACTGGACTCATGTGGTCCTGTTTCCTGGTTCTGGATCAGTCTTTCTGGGTCTGGTTTAGACTCCATTCCTCTGATTCTGGCTGTTTTTTAGATGGTTAAAAGCTCCTGATGTTATTGATTTAATGGGCTGTTAAAGTTCAGGTCTGAGTCCAGTTTTACCCCCAGATTCTGGACCTGGTTTTTAGATTCTGGACCTGGTTTTAGGTTCCAGAGAGAATCTGAAGGTGACAAATGACACTTTCTCTTAGTTTCTACAGACCACGATAAACTCAGTTTTGTCTGAGTTTAACTGGAGAAACTAGTTCTGCATCCATAAACTGACCAGTTCGACAGATAACTGGATAACTGGTGAGGTTGGGCTGGTTTTGGCTGATGAGGACGTAAACATTGGGCTCTTTTTCCGGAGCATCTGTTTGGCTTTTCCGGCTTTTCCCGGAGGGCCCAGCTTCCACACACCTGACTCAAAGCAAAGCAAAGGAAGGAAAACTTTCGGAGGCTTTTGAGGAGTTGCGTTCCTTCTGAATTAGGTGTGCTGAAGCTAGGGTTTTTACCATACTAACATTTTTAACTCTATACCGATACTCAGGAAAATATTCGATACTCGATAGCATTTTCAATACCACAAGGATAAAAACAAAGACCCCGAAATGTAACTGAATTTTGACAGGTTAGTGTCTTTAGTTTTAAACTGACCTGTTACTGATGTTATGGTGGCCCCATAATGACCCTAACCCTAACCCTGACATCCACTATTTTAACATAATAGTATGTATAGAGTTTAAATCACTGTTTGCAAGATTAATTTAACTATTTTTAAATTAACGTCTATATTGCCATGAAGCAATTAGGATTTTCTTGGCTTCCTGCAGTCTGCAGCCAGACGGACTTGATTAATGTCGGCGTGTTATTTTTAGCCATTAGCCGCAGCTAGCAATTCAAGGCTAACGTCATGCTAATGATCATAAACAATGTAAACCTGAGCCTGTTTGTCCTGAGGGGCTGTGGACACCAAAGATAACCCGGAAAACGCGTTTTTTCTGCTGATCCTGAACCAACAATGTGACTAAAACCAGCAGAAAGTCCATCAGGCCTCCGACCGCTCAGCTTTTGTCTGTTTTTGTCCTCACAGCTCTAAGAAAAAAGCTGTTTTCAGAGACTTTCAGCTATTTGAAAGACTGAAATTGAATAATGTATTTTCGATTTACAAATAATGTGTTTTTTTTAAAGGAATAATTTGACTATTAGTGAATAACTGGTGGTGTGGGGGTGGTACTTGGGAGGCTTTCCCTGGTGGTTGATCAGGTTTTGAAGCCCAGAGGTGGCGTTTCCACATCCAGATGTTTGTGGTTTGGTTAACGGGATCCAGTGTTTCAAACAGGAGCAACAGATGTTCCCTCAAAGTTCAGCCGGGAGCTCGTCTCTGCTCCCACTTTCCAGAAAGAGTTGGAACTTTAAGGAAAACTGGACTAAACTGGTCAAAATAAGCTCAACCGGCATCAACCAGGGAGCAACTAGGCAGCAACCAGAGAGCAACCAGAGAGCAACCAGGCAGAAACCAGAGAGCAACCAGACAGCAACCAGACAGCAACCAGGCAGAAACCAGAGAGCAACCAGAGAGCAACCAGGCAGCAGCCAGACAGCAACTGGGCAGCAACCAGGCAGCAACCAGAGAGCAACAACCAGGCAACCAAGCAGCAGCCAGAGAGCAACTAGACAGCAACCAGAGAGCAACCAGGCAGCAGCTGGAGAGCAACCGGAGAGCAACCAGGCAGAAACCAGGCAGCAACCAAGCAGCAATCAGACAGCAACCAGGCAGCAAACAAACTGCAGCCAGGCAACAACCAGGCAGCAAACAGGCAGCAATCAGAGAGCAACCAGACAACAACCAGGCAGCAACCAGACAGCAACCAGGAAGCAACCAGACAGCAACATGACAAGAACCAGAGAGCAACCAGACAGGAACCAGGCAACAACCAGGCAGAAACCAGAGAGCAACCAGACAACAACCAGGCAG